AGAGAATTGGAAGAGTAAAAGTGAGAAAAACTCATGGGTTGAGATAAAAACAGTTTAATAATTTAAATTAAATAATAATAATAATAATATACAAAGCAAGATGTACAATGCAATTGCTCACCACCCGCTGACCTATGCCCAGCCAGGCCCCGAGCAGTGGCGCCCCGGCCAGCTTTTCCCAGTTTATGTACTGAGCATGATGTCACATGGTATGGAATGTCCCTTTGGCCAGTTTGGGTCAGCTGTCCTGGCTGTGCCCCCTCCCAGCTTCTTGTGCACCTCCAGCCTTCTCAGTCGGTAGAGCATGGGAAGCTGAAAAGTCCTTGACTAGTGTAAGCACTACTTAGCAACAACTAAAACATCGGTGTGTTATCAACATTATTCTCCTACTAAATCCAAAACACAGCCCTGTACCAGCTACTAGGAAGAAAATTAACTCTATACCTGCCGAAACCAGGACAATTTCTTTGACTGTATTGTACTCCCATATAGTGATTTTTTTTTCAGTCTGTTTTTTTTATTCCAGTCTTTTTTCTTTACTTGAACAATAAGTTTTACAACATTTGTTTACTGGAGACCTATTAAAATTCCCACTTGAATCAGTTTAATTTAAAAATTCATTATCTATTTTTAACTGCGATTAAGTACTACCCTGTATTATCATACCATTTGAAAAAGACTTAAGATCTTAGGCCTTGAGCCAGTAAGAATATAAAAAGTAAACTAACCTACATAAGATTACATGTTGACTAGTCTAAAAACTTCAGAAGATGACTGAAGAAAAAAAAAATCCGATATTTTTGTTTTGCGATAGGGATTTGAAGAGAAAGTCTACAAGAATATTCTTTTCATGCTGACATTAAAGAAAACAAAAAAACCAAAAAGAAATTATGAACAGAACACACTTGAAAGCATATTAAAGTATTCAATTATGATAAACAGCTTATATTATAGAGAAAAAAGTATTATAAGTAGGATTTAACAAAAATTAATGACCAAATTTATGAAAATAATTTTCATACAAGTAGTTATTACTGGACTTGATGTTTGAAAAAGTAAACATTTAGTTTTAAAATATTCCTTTTTTTGGTCATCAATGATTTACCCATTTTCATCACATAAGATCAGGAAAAGACAGAAAATTAAACAGACATACTAGTGTTTTAGTTGTTGCAACTAGTCAAGGCTGCTTGTACCTAAACACAACCCACACAAAACAAGCAATGTTTAGAATTCAGTAGACAGGTAGGCCCCTCTTAGCGTTCTCCTGTGAGAGCTGCAAGAATCTGATTCTGGAATCTGAATCACTGCTTCTCCACATGAGCACATCAGTGATGGAAATTATTGCCTACACATTATCTTGCTGACCTCAGTATATGTGTGGGCCTTCCTTCATCATTTGTGCTATGACTAAGGGAGTTTTGTGCTTTTTTTAACTGGCCACTTCGGTGTTACATCATGTCTAGACCATGTAGTATATGACGTGCCCGATATGAGGAATTTTATATTGTCCTTGATTTTTCTCATGTCTGATTATTAATTAGCCCCTGTGGAGACCACTGCAAGTATAGACATCATTTCTGGTATCCATCCTAGCCTGTAACTGTTTGGGTATTTTAGAGCAGCTCCTGTATCTTCATACAGCATTATGCCATCATGACAGAGCCCATGGTCTTAAAGTCCAGTTTTTGGCAGATATTTCCCAAATGCCTTATTTTGAAAACTGAGTGTTCTTCTCAATATACTGTTTTTTTAAAAAAAGAAATTTTTTAAAATGCATTTGCCATTTTGGATAGAATTTTGAGGTGAAAGGTCATATATAAAGGGTAATCAGATTTGTAATTTTCCATTCCAAATTTTTTAGCAAACTCTTTGCATAATCCCATGTACATCAGCCTTCAAGAGCACACTGACAGTTGTATTATCAGGTTATTGTTACAGATTTGGCTTCTTACCAACCTTGCCAGCAGTATGAAAAAAGTCATTAGCCTCTTGTAGCAGGGCTTTCCTTTCTTCCATACGGAAGCACACTTCTTCTCGCAACAGACAGATTTTCTGATTTGAAAGCTTTAGGTGTTCTTTTTCTGTATAGTCCTCCGAAAGCAAGATCTTAAGTGCTTCGGCTTCCAGTTGTTCCACAGTGGAATTCCATTTCTAACAGGAAAAATTCCGCTTTAATTAACTACGCATAGAAAAGTAATATACCTGCACAATAATAATATAAATACTGGAAAACATGTATCGCATTTATAGGCCTGAAAGTTATCACCGTTTAAAACAGTATTTCTACTAGGAGGGATTTCTCAGCAAATTATGGTTTTAGTGACAGAGTTTTCAGTGCTGGCATTCTACATTCTTTGACACAGTTTCACAGGCAGAACAGTTACTAGTGTGTCTGCTGGGAAAAATGGTCTGGATAACATAAAGACAAGAAACTTCTACTGGGTAAGATCACACACCCATGACAAACAGCCCCTTAAGTCCAACTACTTAACCAAGAACAAATTAAAATATTGCCTAGATAATAGCTGCTTCCAGTGAGACAATTTCTGCTGAGAGCTGTCTGGTAATGAATTAAATCAAATGACTCTCCCTTATAGTGAGGTGTGCTACCATCCTTGACACTCTCCATTGTACATTTTCCCTGATTTCCTACACAAAAACACAAGTCCGTTCAAAGCACGTCTCTGCCTTATCTGACCATGAACCTTTCTAGTGGCAGTGACAGATCAAAGAGATGCTTTAAAAAGGAAGATCATACTTCAGAATTTCAAGCCACAGAGTCAGAAACATTACTGACGCTTAATTGAGCTAGGTACTTTAAAACTAAGGTGCTTTAAAATGGATTCAGTTGAATCAGTACAAGTTTGCATATAGATATTTTGTCTGCATTGCACCACTTGGAAGCATATTTAGCCAATCAGAACTGATTGTCTATTTGACTCCTATTTCTTTTTTCAGCTACTCATACTGAACTGACTTGTGCTTCTAGTGTACTGACCCAAATGATACATGAAATTTAGGGATTAAATCTTCATGAACAAAACTTTTTTACCTACATTTTTTTACCTGTGATAAATGCTATTACAGTATTCAGTCCCACTATCTTCTTTAGGTTATAAAGAGGTATTGAAAGGCGTATCAGACTAGACAGCCCAAACGGAAAGGAGTTTTACTTTAAGAGAGTCAAGAGAAAAACACCATGTCATCTCTTCCTGTCTTGCAACTACTGCTTTGTTGTTTAGCTGCTTCTTTGATTTTGCTGTGTTTTTATAGAGAAAACTATAAAGTAGTAAAACTGTTACACAGTGTACTTTATCCCTGCTGTGCTTGTCGACACTTAAAATTGGTGCCATATTATGCTGTTCAAAACAAAAGGAGCATCTGATAATACACTGCAATTTCCAATGTCTTAGGTAGCATATTTCCTCCACTTTTCCTGGTAATGAATTAAATAAGAGAAGAACCTTTTTGAAATTCATTTAGCATTTCCTTCCACAGATTTTTATCAAATGTCTGGTAAAGCAGACAGAAAAATATTTAAAAATAAGACAGAAATTTTTTCATTAAAACACTCCAAAGTGTGCATATGGCACAACAAGATTACAGGGTAGGGTCTTTTATTTTCAGCATGCTTAAAGGACGTTAGCCTCACATTTGTTGTTTCTTTTTAGTTAAATTATTGCTAGTGAAAGACACTGTTTTGGAACTTTTCCCTAAAGAAGTAATCTGGTTATTCACAGATCTTTCACAAATAGCAGCAATTCTAATTCCCTCATAGAGTCCCACCATGCTGCTTTATCTTTCTTTGAAGTACAGTAAGCGGGAGTAGACCTATTTCGGTCTGTGTAGTTCAGTGCATTCCTCTTCTGACATTGTCCATTGTTGTGACAACAACTGATATGGTGAAAACACTTGTTCAAAAAGATCAGCAACTCATTTTACATAGACTTCTCCACCAGATGCAGTTATCTCTCCCTCCCTATTGGTACGGACTAGATCTGGAACAACAACAACAACCAAGTGAGAGAGACCCTACAATTCCCAGCATACCCATTGCCCAACATAGCCAAACTTAAATAGTACATGGCAATTCCATCGGAAAGGACTAATTTCCTTGCTGCATTTTAGATTAACTTGAACAGTTCAGGAAAAAGATCTAGCATTACTCACAGGTCACTGAAAAACATCTCAAAATGGAACACACATGCATTCAGACCATGCCTGTATGTTCTTGACTTGAACTTTGGATTCATTTCTGCAGCCTCACAGCACATGAACTAAAGCTGAAACAGAGGGTATTGACATGAGTAACAAAAGTAATTTTAAAATATGAACAAACCCCTGGGAATAAGGAATGTGATGCCTGGTGTGATGTCAATACATTGCAACACAAGTCTCAAAATCATGAATTATATACAAATAACTTTAATCTCTCTCAAAAAACAACTACCAAGGTATATTAAGCGATGAACCTTTCTGTGTGAATCAGTCTGTGGTACTAACTGCTGCAAGTTATAACAGAGACAAATATTTTAGCAAAGTTGAGGAAAAAAAGGATGCACGTTTTATATGATAAATGAGACTCTAAATGTGATTTTAACAAGCAAATTTTCATTAAATTAAAACCAATTTAAAAGGATATTAAAGCTAATTTGGGTATTAAGTAAGCTTTTTGAGGAGAAAAATTTTAAAAAAGACTTCATGCTAATAAACATAAAAGGACTGCTAACACCTTCACTGAAGTAGTAGAAACGTCCCAGATTACAGATTTATTTGATCAGTATCCTAGTTCTGTGCAATGCAACATATTCCTTCATCTTGAAAATCTGACGAATAGAAAAAGGAAAATTATGACAATCCTACTGAGTTTGTAAGTCATTTTTCCACTGTGGTGAATACTCTTCATCTTTCTGCCATGGAAGACCTAAGCAGCTGTAAAAATCTATAAATCTTCATTAATGCCTTATTTAGCTTTTTCATGTTAGATCTACTTTTGCTTTTAACGTTTATTATAGTATTAACAATTAAAAAAAAAAAAAAAGGCCAGCATAAAATAATTCAATAGTGTCAAAATGTTTCAACCAGATTCTAAGTGGTTTGGTAAGAAAACTAATTGCACATATTTCAACAAATTTAGCTTTGCTTCATTTTGAAAAAGAAAGATGTGCCAGAATCCCATCGAGAACTGAGTTCTGGTTATGCTTCAATATACCTGCACTGTATGCCTACAAAGATGCAAACCTGTCTCACTCATGCTAAGCCTTCTTTCCTGCCATAACAGAACCCTTATGAAAAGCCTTCTCAGAGATTTTTCAAGTTCAGCTCTTCCACAAACAAACACCTGAAGGCCAAACGCTACCCATTATATTTTCTTGTATGCTTGTAAAAAATATTGCTGTTTTGGAATATCCTGAAATAAAATTGCACCACTTCCCAAGAAAACACTCAAAAAACCCACCCATATAAGTATTCCTTGAGGACTTGAACTGGACACTTTCAGCTTCCTAGGGAAATAAAGATATATTAATCTGGGGCACAATAAAAGCAAATTTTTTTCAATTTTTTTCATTTTGTCTATTCCTGATAAACAGCTATAGCAAAATCTTTCTTGATTTTTTTGTTTTATTTTTCTTTAAAATTAAAATAACAACCACTTCTGCAATCTGGATGCAATAATCTTCAGCCTGTACTTTTAATTAAGTGAAATCCTGCACTGTATTATTTAATGCACAATTCCCCTTTCATAAAGTCCTGTCTTTGTCTCTCTGCCCTAAGTAATATTCAGCAAGAATGAGGATTTTGAAAAAATTACGGTCTGCTGTGCTGTATTTGTTCCTTTTTACCTGAAGAATTTATCTTGGGAAAAAATATTAAGGAGGTCTCTCCACACACACAGCTTAATTGGCCTATGTATGAATAAGGTGCAGACCCCCGATATCCAATTGAATCAGCACCACAATGTCATCGTCTTCCAATACTTGCAGCTGGAATGACTGGCACCAAATGCATTCCATGGTCAGATTCTAATCAAAATTTCACCTACATTTAAATATATAGATGCTAATGAGAATTAGAAAACAACACTGCAGTTGGGAGCTTTTAACTAGGACTAACAATAATTAACCGATAAAAGGCAAAGAAAGTGCAGTTGAATATGTGCATCTTCATTTTGTTACTATACGCTATTTGTATAATAATAATTAAAAATAATATTTTATGCAAGAATGAAAAATGCATATTTTTTGTGTAACAGGAAAGGAAATTGTCTATAGTTAGCTTAGAAACAGATACAGAAAAACAAAAAAGTTCTGAATTTTTTCAGTGTATCGCAATGTGTAAATTATAATTACAGCAGGCAAGGCTAATTATAAAGAAGATTACTCAACTTGTAGTGGAATTATTTCCTATAAGAGGATTTCACTGCAACAACATTCATAAATCTGTTTGGTACAAGGTGTCCAATAGCAGCTTTTAGGTAATCTTGAAGCACAGGTTAAACTCTGCCTCATTTATACTGAGGCAAGCTTCTTCTCTAACCTTTCACACAAGCTCAAAAAACCAATTTATTATAATAATTTATAGTTTACAATATTCCACGACATTACAACCTTGCACACTGTCTGAGGGTATTAAATGTAGTTAGATTCATTTGCTATCCTACTTGATCGTTACTCAAAATTGGTTCAATTTTCTATAAAACAGCTAGCGACAATTTCATTTTCAGCTTTCTATTTATAAGGAAATGTTTCTACACATAAAAAACCTATACCTTCCATTAACAGGACATACAAACTCAGTGGAAAAATCTTTGTCATTTTTTTCTGTCCTTCAGCCTTCTACATGTTAAATTCGTAAAAGTCTGCCAGTCAGCACTAAAATATTTGTTAGTCATTTTCCCTGAAAGGAACACAAAACCTACTATTACCTTGACTTTTCAATTTGTCAAGAAATGCTTCTGAATTCCTCTGACCTATTAAAGACACATTGCATTGTATGTGGCTATACTCAGTGTGTCTCCTTAGCTTATGTCACTATTCTTACTTTTCCTCACAGTAGTAAGTCTTTTAAACACTTACTTTCACTATTCCGTTTGGCAAGGAAAATGAGCTCTTTCTAGGTCCCTGGATTAATCAGATATTTTTCAAGAGTGTTAAAACTGATGAGGTAAAATTATTGTGGCTTTAAGAAAAGTTTTGAAATTTTTCTGCCTTCAAAAATATCCAGCAAAATCCTGGGGGGGGGGGGGGGGGGGGGGGGGGGGGAGTAGAAATACCTACAACTTTATCTTGTTATTAAACAACTATTGTGGGATAAATAGGCTTTTTTGGTCTATACCATAAACATTTCTTACTTAAAAATAGTAACTTTGGATTCAAACCTGAGAATTTGTGTAAAACTGTCTTCACTGGAACATTCTAGGGTTAAGCTGAGAAAACCTTGAAACACATCTATTTGACTTCAGATTGTGATCCATATAATAGATAAAGTACCACAAGCCAATTAAGTATAAAAATATGTGTTTTCAGAATATATGATAAATTAACCCCTTCTCTCATACTGCGAAAATGTTCACAACTGAACTTTTTTCGAGCCCAACTTCTGCCTGTAATTGATTCATTGGATACATTGGTACATTGATAATTTAGCCCCTGTGAATATCTGAAAGGCTTTTCCCTTCAATAACTATGTTGCAGTATAACTAACTACCAATATAATCGTATCATTCCCTCAAATTACAAATAAAACTGTGCACTAATACAGCTGCAAAGGATTGTGACTTGCTAGGACAATCAATTACCACTCTGTCTGTTGGGAAGTTCAGTGGATGGGTATATCAATGTATTTAACAGTCAGTGACAAAATAGTTGAGAGATGTTAAAAGATAATGCCAGGACAGAGGACAGACTACCAAAAAACAACAACAACCCCCCCCCAAACCATTAACGGGGGGGGGGGGGGGGGGGGGAAGAGGGAAAGGAGCACTCACCCAAGGCAGTGAGATGGCACTACAGGAATATCAGACAGTGAGAAGAACCTGACAGATGAATGTAGATTTGCATCTGCCACACACGAAAGGAATGTTTAGGTAAAAATAAAATTGCTCATAAAGAAAAATTATCTTTCTTTACATGCTTTGTTCTAGCTATCAAAATACAGGAGTGCATTAAAACATCTGCTATGCAGATGAAATGCAATACTTGTCAAACTCCTCAACGGAATGCCAGTCTCAGAAAAACCAGCAAGAAGAGCTGAATAGCCTGAGTTTGCATCCATGCAGAGAACGGTCAAGGAGCATGGCCATCCAGGAAGGCCAGAGACAGAGGAGAGCTCCAGAAAGACATTTAACTGTGAAATAACTTTTCCATATATCTAAACATTAGCTGTGAGATCTGGGGAAAAAAAGCAGGTAAATACAATACTCTCAATCCTTATGTTAATGTCAACAAATACAGCAATTAATACTACTAATTGATAGTGATATTTAATTTGGTCATTAAGAACCATCCTGAAACCTCATTAGAGCATGTTATTACCTAGCATGGCTACTCCAGACCCAATAAGCATGCAGAGCCATAAAACAGAGAAGTACTCTCCATCTTGCTACTAATCCTTATTAAAAGGAGGACTGATTCCAGCATTGTTCAGTCCTGAAAAGTGGCAGAAACTAGACAAAGTGCAAACAATTTAGAATACTACTTTTCTTCATCTCTAAAGTTATTTGGCCACAAAGTGGTGCTAGCAGTTCTTTTTTACCATGCCAAGCACCTCCAATACACACAGAAATGTAACAGCAAGCAGTTAATCAGTGCCAGCTGATATCCCCATTGAAATATGATTTCCTAAATCTGCCTCTCCTCTACTCTCAAATCTTGGGGCTCTGTGTGTGTGTGTCCATTTAATGTTTTGGAGGGTTGAGGGCTTTTTTTCCAATTATGAATCCTTGGTTTTATCTTTGGTCTTGATTATTGTACAAGATAGCGATAATGTTTTCAGTGGTTTCACCTCTTAGCAAAGTGAGGTTCAAGATATTAACTTGACAACGTAATAAACCATTCTCCTTCCTTCTCTCAGCCCAGTCACATAAATAAGGTGTTAATGCTGTAAATCCTTCTTAGGATTGTTAGCCTCTGAACAATTTAAGCAAATCATTTGTCTTGTTCATCTCAATGCAACATGTAAGTAAACATGTATATTTTCTTTGTGTGAAACTGTTCAGATACCAGAACTTTCTACTATCTTACTCTCTATGAGAGCACTTACACTTGCTCTGCATGTCTATTACAAAGAAACTTTTCACCATACCCTCAAAGCTACAGTATACATATGAAATGTTACCTGAGAAGATTCATTTACACCACTTTAGATCCTAACAGAAATCCCAATGTAGTTGAAGACTAGTTTATCAATGCCCTTATTACTTCTAACAGAATGCCATAAGAAATGCCATGCTGCGTGCATTGGTGTAGATGCACTTGAGCTGGGCTATCGATTTTGCCCCCAGCATTGGCATGCCACCCCTAGGCTCATCTCTAGTGAGCCTGGTTTTATCCCCTTCCCCCTTCGAACCTAGTTTAATAAAGCCCTCTCAATGAGCCCTGCCAATTCAACTTCCCAGGTGATTTGAAAGAAAATATAAAATCATTGCTTAATAAAGTTTCTAGTCGCACAAAAACTAGCGGGGTGCTATGTAATAATTAGGAAAGGTCAATTATAGAGATTGAGTACAACCTTTTTTTAAAGTAGGCTCATTTGAACAAAAGAGTTAACTGTAATTTCAGACTTATCAGGACATTTGTGTCATTACAGGGATCAAAGATTGTATCCTAGAAAGTAGTGACCCTGGACAATAGTATCATGTTGTATGACCAACTGAAATGAAAATTTTACAGGAAGAGTGGCTTAAGGGAATTTTGTGCACCCATGTATGGGAATGCAGAGGAAATAATTCTGTTTCCAGGACTAGTAAAATTGTTTTTTTAATATTGTACCTAGTTCTTCACTGGCCTTCCCTAACTTCTGCATGGAATTAGTCAACAGCTTCTCAGAGTGAATACTGCACACAACAGCACTGCTGTTCCAAAATACATATGAAATCAAAATACTTCAGATCAGCGATCAGATGCTGAAGGCCCGTGAGTTGCCGAAGATTTAGGGAATTTCATGTTCTGACATGATATATCTTATAAGAATGGTTTTGCTTAGTCTGTGAGCAAAGATGCCAAGTTCATTTCTAGGTTGTTTTGTATTTCAGTGTATTCTAATCATACAGGTAAAACACTACTTTGTGCAGTGATGACATCTAATATTAATCTCTGCTATCTAACAAATATTTACTGAAATACACATTTGATTGGTATACTTTATCTGAATTTTAAAATCAAGATGCCAGGCTCCTCCTTTATTCTGGTCTCAACATCTGCAGTTCAGTGCTGTAAAAACTAATGCACAAAGCCCCATAACTCAGCTTTCTGAAATATATTTGCAATATGCAGTTCAACCTGGCCACTATTTTTGCACATCATATGCATAACCAAGACGTTCAGTAACATCCACGTAAAGAATTTCATTTCCCTCTGCTAGAATATGCTGCTAGTAAGAACAGCAGAAGGCTAAAGGTAAGATGTTCTAAATCATAAGTCACATGGATGTGTAACAAAAATTTTTAATGCTAAACATTTTTAAATGACCTTAAGAAAAAAAAAAAGGCAATTCAGTAAGATGATATGAATGATCTATTACATAATGTATGGGAGAAGAATTGTTAGGTGAAACTGTAATAATAAGTATTATCATGGCAATAAAGTTAGTTTCTGGATGCTCAACCATGAAAAGGGTTATTATTCTACAAAATGAAAATGCATATTGTTCTCCTTTCTGCATTTACAGTATCATTTCTAATTCAGACAGCAAATTACAAGAATAGCCCTTCAACACCAAACGTGGGGAAGATTAATGATCATTTGGCTAGTTCTAAAATTCAGCAATACTTTAGGACACCTCAAATATTTTTGTGGGTCCCTATTTCTCTGGAAACACCCCACAGCTTACTCATTCACTGTTTATCTTCTGATTTTCTTGTGCCAAAGGTCTGTTCAGGCTTTGCAGCAGATTTTAGCTTTTCATACTCATCTTCCCTAGATGAAGAAAATATGTTTTCTGACATGCTGCTTGGAGAAGCATTAGAAATATTATTGTATTCTGCTTACATGACAACCCTGAAGCAGTTAACTGTAAATTATGCAAACAGGCAAACATGTGACATCTAACTATAAAGCTTACAAGGAAACATAAATGTGAACAATCATAAACCTGTTAGTTGCTATCAACACAGTAGCCTTTAAAAAGACATTTGTTTCTATTGGAATAGGTTTTGGATGAAAAAGGCATTGTCATCTGGGTTATCCAAATACAATTGCTTGAAAATGATACAGTGAGGAATGATCCTGACCCAGCAACAGCACTTACCTGATGATAGCACAATTGAGATATCTAAAAAGAGCTTCTAATAGATGCAATTTACAGCACGCAAATATCCTTTTTTTTATTATTATATCAACATTGTCTTTAATCCCGTCTTGTTTTTATGAGTGACGGTAACAAATTTATTCTCTGGAAAACTGATATTCACAATGAAAATAGTATTTTCAATTACTTTTATTCCCAAGAAATAAATGGGAAAATACCTCTTCCAATCATGTACACAGTTCAGTGACAATGAATTATGGTAGAAATAGCTGGCTTTTTATCCTTTATGAACATTAGACTTCAGTAATACTCTAACAACATTGCTTTTCTTTATTTTTTTAAACATAGTTTAATATGTAAACTACCAGTCTGGAATTTGATCACTAAATTGAAAAACCAACTAAACAACATCAAGGATTACTCTTCTTTTACCTTACCAATAGCTGTTAAAGTTTTAAATAAGAAAAACACTGAGAAACATGGAGGCCTGCATTAACAGAAGTAAAATGAAAAAAATTCTCATTTAGACATATAGAAATATATATCTTATGTACTCATACCAAGTATCTACTCCTATATGTGTTTATTAAATGCCCAAGTTCACATTTTGCTACTAATTTTTAATGTTGCTTCACTGATCAATTATCGTATTACTTACTTTCACTTTGACTTCCATTTCTTCAAGCTCTTGAAGTAACTCTTCATTTTCCAATAGAGATGAGCCTAAGTTTTGCTTGTGAAAATAATCTCTGATGTTTTTCTTGTACCAAGATGTTACCTAAATAAATAATAAAAAGAATTCAGTGAAAAATTTGAGAAGCGACTGTCCATTTATTAAAATATGTACAAGACAGTTTCATCTACAAAAGAAAGCCTAATTTTCATTCCTTTCATTTTTCATTCCTCATGTTCATGCTTTTACTCAAACGTTTGCATTTGTATTATTTAAATGTTAATAAATGCAGAAGAAAAGGATTGTGGTCAAAACAAACACATTGGAATATATGTAACAAAATAGACAAAAATTTATTCATCAAGTATGACCAAATTATAAATTAACACAGTAAAAGAAAAACCAAATTATAGTCACACATAGAATAAACGCATATTTTATAACACAATAAACATTGCACATTTTCCCTAGAATCACTTTAACTTAAAAATATCCCTTTGCGTACAGTAAAAGACTATAAATCTGAGTACTTTTGCAAGAATAAAAAAAAAAAAGGAAAGGAAAAAAAAGTACTAAATGGGCCTTATGACCTAATAGAACCTCTCCATCCCTGGTTTGAAAAACCCAGTTAAGCTATTGAGATAATATTATGTGGAATAAAATTTAGTAGCTTAAAAAAAAATTATTACATCTTACTAGACTTACTTCAGCAAGTATATGCAGCAAACATACGCAGTATACAAGTATATCTTCTAAATTGCACAGAACGACTTGCATTTATTTCTGCTTGATTCACGGTAGGTACCTCTCACTTTCTTTGTAAACAATACATGGCAAGAATTCCTGAGTGAAGCTTTGCATTTTAAAATAGTAGTCAGAATGAGTTGTTAGTATCAAGGAGACTTCCTCCAATCTTTTCGGTCTGGAAAATCACCACTATACTTAAATCATACATGGCATACTAAGAATTACTTTGTCTCTAAGTACTAGAGATTTCAATAGCCAATAGCACACTACAGTTTTGGGGTTTTTTTATCTGCTCATGTAGAAGCTATTTTTAATAAATTTAAACAATTCTAAAAATGAAAGAACCTTTAAAATGTGTTGGAAATATTTTCAGTTACAAATAAAAAATTGGGTACAATATCTCAGGAGTTCAACAGAGCTAGGAAAGTAGACAAGTTGTTTTACTACCAAGCCTTCATTTCTTGAGCATATCCTCCAGATGTATACTTACTGATTGAAACATTTTTCCTGGAAGCAGATTTTCACAGAACATTTACTATGGGTCCACCAAAATACAAATGAATGGAATGGACAATAAGAACTGTGCTAAAAGGTAAAGAAAAACTTCTCTGTAAATTAGGACTGTTCTCTGTATCATGTATCTGCTTAGCAAAACCAACTAGTATTTCTGTAATGCTAGGCAGAGGAAAAAGTCATTCTTTAACCCTGTTATAGTAAAATGTTCACCCCTTTACCACTTGGCAATATTTCTTTCCATTACAGTGAGTTCAATCTGTTGGCTTCCACTACAGCTAATACCGCTGAGTGATTTCACTTGTGCCAGCTTAGCTCTTAAGCAACAGCTGGGAATATTAAGTGCTTTTTACAAAAGAAACCCACAGAACCTTACTTTCAGTGATTTTGGTGGAGGGATGGGAAAGGAGAGAAGGTTAATATATCTGTTTGAAAAAAGACTTTTTTCTTGATTGGTTGAAATCTAAAATCACTTCTGTTCTTCAAAGATCAGATTTTATCATTCATTTACAATAATTATCTGCTCTGTTTGCGATGAATAATCCATATCAGAAATCAAAGGCTCTTCAACATTTTTCTCAGGTTGCTAAACTGCTCATTTTGCACTGATTATGATCCAGGTGATTTCAATGCTTATATATAGTCTTCCATTGCATTCCTACATTTCCCACTGTCAATTCAGAAGGAGAAGCAAGTTTTCCAACAAATAACTGGCGGGGGAGGAGAACCAAACCAACAGCATAGCTTAGCTTGTTGTGGTGGCGTTGGCCTTGACCCAGCTGCCAGACACCCACCCAGCCACTCTCTCAACTCCTCCTCCTTTACAGAACGGGGGGAGAAAATAAAATGAAAAAGCTTGTGGGTCGAGATAAAGACAGGGAGCTCGCTTACCAGTTACCATCACAGGTGAAACAGACTCAACTTGGGGAAATTTAAATTAATTTATTGCAAATTATAGATTTTGTGAGAAACAGACAAAAACTAAAACACCTTCCTCCTACCCAGCCCTTTTCTTCAGGCTTAATTTCACTCCTTCATTCCCAACTCCTCTACCTACCCCCTCTCACCAAATGGCACAGGGGGATGGGGGGTTATGGTCAGTACATAACAGCTCCTCTCTATCACTCCTTCCTCCTCACACTTTTCCCCTAGTCCAGCACAGGTCCCCCAGGGGCTGCAGTTCCTGTCAGGACACCTTGCTCCGGCACGGGCTCTCTATGGCCACAGTTCCTTCAGGGAATATCCAGCTGTTCCAGTGTGGACTCCTCCATGAACTGCAGTGTAGATATCTCCTCCGATGCGGTCCTTTCCACAGGCTGCAGGGAAATGCCTGCTGTGGCGTGGTCTCTCCCAAAACTTCCACATGCTGCAGGGGAATACCTGCTCCAGCACCTGGAGCACCTCCTCCCCCTCCTTCTTCACTGACCTTGGCCTTCACAGCGTTGTTTCTCGCTCTTTTTTCTTTCCCCTCACTCCTCACCATGTCTGTGCAGTGTTTTACCCTTAAATGTATTTTAACAGAGGCGCCACCAGCTCCACTGAGGGGCTCAGCTGTGCTCTGCAGTGGGGCTGCTGAGGAGCCAGCTGGAACCAGCTGTGTCCGGCACGAGGCAGCCCTGGCCTCTCCACACAGATGCCGCCCACCCCTGTAGCCTCGTGCTGCCAGACCTGGGCACTGCACCCAATGCAATTGCGTAGCCGGGGATATTTTCAGAAGGAGGGGAATTCTTGCACATGCCAGTTCAAAGCTCATACACACATACGTTGTCCTGGGCTCTACCAAACCTCTTGAACAGTCTGACACTAATGTGAGACTATAGAGAGAAGGAGCAAATATAGCAGAGAACAGAAATTAAGTAACACGCTTTTCTTTCTAGAAATTATTCTCATTAGGAAAAACTTTGTTTTTTCACTCCCTTTCTTCCTGTATGTGCTAGAACATACATACATGCCATAAATTAAATCTGACCTTATCTCAGGCAGTTTGAACTTGAGCAGCCTGCACTGTGTATTTTGACATACCTACTCTGAACGGCAGGATCAGCTATTCTCAAATAATTTGTGCAGCGCGTTCACAATAAGCTGACTTTTGTTAAATACCAGACTTTTTTTTCAACACAATCATCACTGTATTTGAGTGGCTGATGCTTTACTTACTATCTTAAATCTCAAACAGTATTTTTATCATCAGTATGCGAAGGCATCATCATGGCAATACAGATCTGTCTTGGTTCATCTTGGGGACGTTTCAGTCTCTTCATAACAATACTACCTAAGCCCTTCCCTAACCTTCAATGCATTTATCTTCACAATATTGTTAACGAAGCATCCTTGTCTAATTTAATAAATAACAAGTAGGGCAAAATGGGACCACAGACACATTTTTAAAGAAAAATGCAGCACTTCAGTTTAAAGTCTGGGCTTTAGTGGTTTTTCTATGATCAAGTACAGCCTTATAAAGAAGAGGAATAATAAAATAATCTTTCAGGGGAAAAGAACTAAGTATCAGTATTACCCTGTCCCAGAGTAGCTACTAGTGGCTTGTGATACCATGTTTGTGAAGGACCGTAAAAGGCCCTGGAAATAAAAAAAAACAAACACCACTAAATGTGACGTATACCAGGTGACGTATAAGTTAACAAAAGCCTTTCAAATTGCAATATAGTGGAACAGTCCTTTTCATTTTTATGCTTTTTTTTTGGCATCCTTTTGTTCCTTTTCAAGAAAGGACTTTCTTTACACAACGTTCCCAAATGCAGAAGTTATTTAGAATATTAGCTAATAAGAGTAATCATTTCAATTTTGAAGGGAACGTTTGCAATTATGAAATATTAAAACCAAGTAATCCATATAGGTACATGCGTACTTTGACAAGAATATGTATACTCTGAGGAAACATTATGACTGATCAACAATGGACTGAGTTTGACATGATGTCAGAAACTCATTTGGTTTCAAGGTGTGGGGCTTTTTTTTACATAGGATCAAAGTCTAGGAATCCTATGAAGTTGGCCCATACATGCAAGAGTAGTAAGAAGAACTAAGTTATCACTATCAGGAGAAACAGGACAGGAGATCAGACATTTGGAAACACACAAGAGGAGAAGCGTTGGCCATAATTAAGACAGTGGCAAAATCACTGCTAAGTTCACTGGCACCACAATTTCACCAGAAGTAGCTAGCAGAGGTAGTTTAAGTTGATCTGATTATAGAGTTTTGAATAACTTAAACCCATTTAGGTCTAAATGTCTTAGCACTCATTGTAAAATACAATTTTTTATATTTATGAAAAAAGCCTTTGCAGAATGTGCTGGAATCAAACATGAAGTGAAAACTTCACAGAGGAACTTCATACAACATTTTGATAATTCAAATAGTTTTATGCAATAGATGACAATCTTCAGATTTACCTCCAAACTGAGGAGACAAACTCAGTATTTTCATACTAGCTATCAGTAGCAGTAGCAGCACTGTGCTGAGTAAAGATATTGGAAAAAAATCAGCAAAGAGCGCACCACCAGCAGATGTAGTCCGTGTTTAGACAATTCTTTACAAGTTAGCCACTGCTGTAGATTTCTCCTCATATATGTGCACTTACACACTTGGATTTGCGGATCCTCATTATCAGATGTTAAAATGAAAATCTCCATTTTTCATAACAGAAATTTGCTTTCAAGCAAAGAAACAACAGAACCTTTCCATATCCTACCATACAGAAATTCTTCTAGGCAAGTAAGATCATAAACCTGTCAATTTCCTGTGCAAAGATTACAAGCAAAGAAGAATATCCTGCATTTTTTGGGGGGGTAAAATCCAATGACAGACTTTAATTCACTGAGCTACACTACTTCATTTTTTATGTCAATTAAGCTACCTTTAATGAAAATGAAATAAAAAAGGGAACTGTGACTTACACCAAGATAGTTTGTTTCCCATACATCTGTCTAGATAGCAAATGTGGGTGTACTCACCTGTCCTGAGTTTTACTCAGCTCTTCTCTCTGCCCTTGATGTGACCAAGTACCATGAATAATTTTAATTGTCTCATATATGCATGATCGGATCGATTAAGAAAAATTACTTTCATAAATCTTCTTCCAAAGATAACTAATTATGCACAAAATAGGCCAATCTGCCTCTGATTTTCATTAATGAAAGAGATTATCAGAAAATATGATGATGACACTTCCATAAAAGAAGGTCAGATACCCTTCTCTAAATGTAAAATAAGTACGCTTTCAGATACTGAAAATACTGAAAAAGAAACGTTACTGTTACAATCATGACTATCAGATCATCACGTTCCAATTAGAGATCAAAGGAAGGTGCTGTATTTTTTAGTTCTTCAGAACCAGGTAATAAGCAGCGATATTTAGAGCTGCTTGGCTTTTCTTTTAAAAAAAGCAACCCACAGATTATGCAGCCTTCTGCATTATATAATTATGCCTAGCAAAACAGAGGCAATACAAAAAGCAAAAATGCATTCTTAGATCTTACACAGCAGAGCTCATCTCCAGTAGTCTGCTTTCTCTGTATCCCCTGAACTCCCATTAATGTCAGTGGGAGTTCAATATGCCGTTCTTGCATATGTAGCACCATGAGACATCAAGAGGAGTTCAGTCCACGTACAGAGATCAGAATATTAGTTTTCAGATTTCCTTAGAGGCTTTGAGAGTTTAATTTCTGTCATCACTCAGAAATATATGCATAATGTGTTAGAGGCCAGACAGAGAAATTTTACATAAAGTCTCTAAAAGTTAATTTTCCAGTGTTTGTTTTTACATGTGAATATATTATTTGTCCATGATGCATGCAAATTAATTGTCCATAAATGTACAAATCATACATTATACCAGGTTTGACTCTAATGCAGATACTAAACAAGTATATTCTGATAAGCATGATATTAAAAACTATTTGAATTTGTCCCTCCGTGTGTATACCAGCCTCAAACTGGACGCAGGTATGAGCTAACAATCAGTTAAATACTGGCCACTCTCTTCAGATGATCAGGAAACTTGTCAGTAGAAAACAGTTTCTATACTTTCTCTTTGTAATGTGAGCACATACCTGGGAGGAAATGGAAACATACACACAAAAAAATTCACTGCACATCTTCAATCTTGCCTAAATTAGGGTGAATTCTAGCTGGTTACTCCCAAATATTTATCCTTTATGTGATGAGGACAAGTAGAATTCCCTGGTAAATTTTATGAAATTGTGGCATTTAACATCTCAGGCAATGTGAATTTTTTTTTATTATTATTTTTAAAAGAAGTGTGCTTGGCTTCAAAAAAACCCCATATCTTATCCCTTACTCTTCAACAACAAGCTATTTCCAAAACATTTCAATTTTGAATGTTCCTCCATGTTTGTATACTATGGAATAACACTGGCATGATCAGGTAGTTGTAGTAACCTCTATTACTTTTTAATGTAGAGAAAGGATCATTTTTCTAGATGAAATAGAACGTATTTCCAATACAGTGAGTTAGACTGATACTGAAAGTTCAGCTGTAGTTGTAAATTTATTAGAATACATTATATTGAAACGACATTTCTTTTTGAGAATCTTTCTTTTGTGGTATGGCTCAGTGGTGATACTGAAAAAAAAAATCAAAACCAGTAACATCAGCAATAATATGTATCTCTAAGCAAGCACTAGATGGTTTCTAATGATTTGCACAGAAATGGATACAGCCTCCTATATTGTTGTTCTTGTTCTTCAGTATTTTTGTCAGCTACTATTTTGTAACTACATACTGAGATTACGACACTTGCATAAGACCATACTATTTTTATCCGTTTTTTTCTATCTAATCATTAAATAAGTAACTCTTTCTCTGTTTCTGGCAGCTACTGATACTGAGTGCTCCAGAAATAAGGCTGTCAGCTTGCTTGTGTACCTCAACAATTTTGTTGTCTCTATGCAAAATTACAGAGTTGTGCTTGTTGAATAAGACACTTCCCATCTTAAACAACCTCACAGGCAAAGTTAGTGCCTGCAGAATGGACTACTGCTAACAGTTTCTAACATTTTCCTCTAATACAGGGGGAAACTTTATTCTGGAGGCCAAGAAGGAAACTTACAGAGGTATCATAATCAGGACTGTACTGTCAGAGGTCCATACAAAATTTTAGCCTATTTACAAAACATTGAAAATACCTCAGCTTTAGTCTTGTTAGACTTCAGCAGTTAAATTTGCATAGGTTCCTCCTTCTCAGCATACTTTATATCCAAAGAGGCGGAGCAGGACTCTCCCCATATCTTTTTTCTGACAAGAAGTTATGTGGTGTTTCTCAAGGAAAATGATGGGGGAGAGAATCTTACATTGGAGAAGTTTCTCTGATAATGCAGAGCACAAAGAGAGAAAAGCTGTCTGATCTGAAAGCTGGGAGGTGAGGAATGAAAAGGAAAAAGAGCAGTAGGACTGGAAAGAGGAAGAGAAAGAGTAAGACTTAGATGTACCTAAGATCTGAAAGGAAAATACAAAAACAAGTTGTATTTGAGAAATTCAGTAAGAGATGGGAGCTAAGCTGGGAGAAAGAAGAAGAGAGAGAAACAGGTTGCAGGTGTGGAAAACCTGCAATCACTACAGTACCCTAAAGAATTTTGATTTGACTCCAAGAACAAAATACTCCTCTGCTTTCAGACACACCAACTGGCTAACTATGCTATATCTTCTCTTTAACTGGGTAGTCCAGAAACAGCCTGCTGCAGCTGTAATTGCTATTACCAGTTACTGTTATCGCTCATGTGGCTAGAGGTTTGTTTGTGCCAGGAATTCAATCTGAAGGGAATCTGGTTTGGTTTGAAGCACCACATTTGATAACTTACAAGAGGGATCCACATAATGGAAATAGTGCTTTTGAAGACATTAAAGTTGCATTAAAATAAATTATGAGGATGTTATAGTTACAAAGTCAAATATTCAAAAGTTAGGATCTCATCAAACAGAAGTGGCCCAGGGATATTGGCCTAATAAATATATTTAAGCTTATTTTCTGTAATAGTCTCTACTGTAAAAGAGTTGCTAGCTTTTTTTTTTTTTTTTACTGTGGCTTCCCTTAATAGTATATATCCTACCTGGTTCTCTTGTTGGTGCCACAAACAAATTTGCAGAACCTGCTCCAGTCCTTGACGTTGATGTTTAAGAAATCTGTCCAGTTGCCGTCTCCTGTCTTGTAGCATTTCAAGAAGATTGTCAATTTTCAAGCAGCTGCTGTGGGCTCCCTGAATCAGCTCTGGATTTGCATTTGGCCCCTCACATTTGAATTCTTCTATGAATTCAGTTAGCTCTTGGCTTTTGTTTAAAAGTGCAAGTGACTTTTCCAAAAGCTCTGTAAGAATAGAATTTCACAGGAAAAAAAAAAATGTGATTTGTAATTCTAGTAGCGTATTTCAAATATTACTCAAGTATTTTTAAAACTACCTATCTATTTGCATACACGAGCGTAATGTATTTTCATGCATTTGCATGAACAGGTTATAAATACTTACTTTAGAAGGTATACATCCTAAGATATTTCAGTTTGGACAGCTGTTATATAAACCTACAAAGGTATAAAGGTGTATACACATACATATATGTACCTATAATGGTAAATATAATATATATACACATATAATGGTGTACTGAGAGCCATTGAGACAAAACCCAGAAGTGATATTGTTTTCTCAAAACTGAGTTCTTTCTGACGGTTTCCCAATCCTCAGGTAAGCTGAAGCAGAATTTCCTACCCTGCTTTCTGCGTGCGTCAGTAGCCTCTGTAGTTTTTCATTAGTGATGCAAGCAAAATTTAGGTCTTTATGTCCCTCACGGAAGTTGAAAGAAAAAGTTCTCCTGTCTGGGGGCTGTTATAACCTTATGACTAAATAAGTCATGAATATCAGGAACTCTTACCTTCTTTCCATAACCTCTACCTAGATACATTCAGGGTTAAAATTCAGTGGACTAGTACACTTTAATGACCTACCAGTCATGTGTCTGTCTTTGTTCCAGCTCCTTAGAGCCACATAGTACAAAATCTGTTGAGCAGACAATGATCAGTATTTACAGGTCTTTCAAATGAAAAGGGAAAAATTTTAGGTGCTGAATGAGGAAGAAGGGGAGCCAAGCCAGAATAAGAAGCAAGGTAGCCATGAAGAAAAGTATAAGAAAGGAATGTTTGCAAGGAGCTGCCAGTGAAGCAACCAATGACAGGCAGCAAAAAGCTGAAACATTCATCTTCCCAGCTGAGTACATGTACTGGTAATTCAAGGCAAAGCACCCTAAATCTCCACCTTTCATATGGAGCACCTAGGGAAGATACAGAAGTGGAATGCCTCCACTTCTCCAGCCACCAAGGGGTAACAAGAGAGCTTAGTTTCCACAAGCTCACTGCAACAAGCCTGTCCATTTTACTTCTTGCCTTCCAGAAAGGTGATACTAATCAGAAATGTTCCATTTCAGTCCATCCAAAATGGAATATATATAAAAATGGATAAATTGGGAAAATTCATATATTTTCACCTTTTTTATTCTGAATTGAAATGCATTTGTTTAAATTTTTTTTTTTTTTTTTTTTGTGATAAACATTTGTGATAAAGTACTCATCACATACTGGTAGAGTCAATACTTTGTAATGGTCGTGTTTTCAGCCACCTTACTTTGGAATGGGTAGATAGTATCCTTCTCACAGAAAGCAATACAAACACTGTTTTTTATCAAATAGCTCAATATCGGTTTTCCAAATTTGATGTGATTAGAGTAAGAAGCCAATCAATTGCAACCACTTTCCTCCATCTGAGGAAAGGCTTATCCCCATCAAAGCAGTCTTTCTCTGGCAAGCCATTTCATCTGATTCTTACAGTTATAGACCCTCTTTTTAGCAATAAATTACTGCCAGATACTTCAGGTTAAAATTGCTATACAGCAAGCACTTTGCTTCCATGAAGATCAAATTGGAAGCCCCAAAACCTATGTTAGAGTGACCTGAGTTCACTTCTCTATTCAGTCTCCTGAGAAGAATACCTGGCATTCAAGATAGCTAAAAATATTTAATCTGGTACTCCACTAGTGAATAATAAAGTATAATTTATTTTCTGCCAGTTATTAGTAATCTTATAGCAAAATTTGGTTAAAATTACAAAGATGGAGTCTTAAGTCTTATAAAAAATACAGAACCATATGGAATTGCAAAGGTGTCTGAAGTAGCCACACAATGAGATTGGTTTTGAGAAAATTTTTTTGTGCTCTTTTTGAATTAAGAGTACCACAACATGGTAGAAGACGCATCACATGAAAATTTGAACAAACAAAAAGAAGTCACATGGAAGAATTTTTCTAGGCAAACATATGTGCAGGAAAGTTGTGGTGGAAGGGGAGAGAGCACCTTTTTTCCAAGAGTGTTACAGTTCTAGCTGCAGAACCTCTTGGAACAGATCAGACAACTCAAAGGGGAAGTGAAACACAGCCCCACTCCTCAAAGGCAGAAGCAAAATGCAGGGAACCTCTGCATTGGTTGCCACCTCTATCTCATAGCTCCCAGCCTCACTTCGCCACTACTTCATCAAACCCCATCCCTAGGCAAAGGAAAGCAGAAGGAACACTTCTCCCTTGGCCACTCTCAAGAAGTTGTAGGACTTTGCAGGGCATTGTTACTAGAGCTGATTGGAAATTTTCTAACGGAAAGTTTTCCATAGGAAAATGTTAATTCATTGATAGCTATGATAAATTTGATGAATTTTCCCATGGAACAGAAGGATGGGTTTAGAACTTGCTTGACAATCAGCCTTAAAAGTCAGCTTGGTTTCTTAGCAGCTCATGTGGCCTGGACTGCCTTGAAATCAGAATACAAGCTTACCACTAGCTGCTCAGCAGCAACAAAGGTGGAACCATGAGAGAGCTAGCTCAAAACCAGGAGTTTCATATCTTTCAGGAGGCCTGATAAAGAGTTATTTCACCATTATGTTTTTCCAAATAGAACATTTTCATATTTGTTCTAAGATTTTATTTCTTTTCAAAATATGCACAGGAAGAGTAAAATCATCCTTCAAGGAATCGGCGCACAATCACACACCATCAGGAGTGGAATACCGTTTGTACCTTTTGTATGATGCTCTTGTTGCAGAAGGAGTTCTCTCAAAGAGTCAATATTGTCAAACTCTTGGGCATTTTTCAGGAAATCTTCAACTTGGTCAATTTTAACAGCAAACTGCATTAAGAAAACAAGGGGTGGGAAGAAGCACAATATAATTTTCTTTTGCAGAACTCTATCATAATCTCTGTATTCTACTATCTGGAAAGTTCATGAGAATTTGTACATTCTTGGAAAAACGTGTTTTTAGTGACTGCTAGAACCAGATGCTTTGTGGGCCATATGCACCTTCTGGTTTTTTGAGGTTCTCATTGATTGAGAGAACCCAAATTTCAGCTGACATACTCTGTAATTACAGTTTGTCACTTTATGAATCATCTTTCCTACATAGCCTTCACACCCACTGAAAATAAATTCTTATGGAAGAATCCGTTAATTTCAAAGCCTTCAGTAAAATCATTTAATATGAATGAAGCCTTTAACTTAGGTCTCCTTCCCAGAACGTCTTTCTAATGTTAAAGTATTGAGGGGAAAAAAGCATTTAAGGGCAATATCAGACAGAGATACAATGTTCAAAGCAATCTTTTGAAAGCAGAAATGAGTAGCAAATTTAAGCTAACAAATATTATGGTAAACACAGTAATTAATTATAGTGGGGAAACAGCATCTCTGTAATGAAGACTGAAGTTAGGTTACTCCTTTACAGCTCATTTTTCCATGGGTTCCATATTTTAAATATTGAAATATGCTGTGTTTCAGGGAGATCTGGAGCAGATTTGGCAATCTGCTGAGATTGTTAAAACTAAGATTGGAGTTCTTTATTTGACTTCCACCTTTGCAGGTGAATTCCAAGTATGAGTAGCTCAGAGAGAGCTGAGACACATATTCTCCATCTTAGCCAATCTTTATCAATTCTACTGTTTCATTTCAAGAATGAAGAAACCAGTAGAGTTCAAACTTGTGTTTCAGTGTAAGCAAAAATGTTGAAACCTATGGTGAAATTAAAGATGATGAAAAGCAAGCACTCTGCTTTTTCTGTCTTTTCTATTGTTCTACATTTTTCTCCCTCTTGATCTGCATGCTATAAAAGAAATCCATTAGGTATCAACATTTCATATTTGAGTTCCTTTTTTCACTAAAGTCTATTCTTGAGATATGTTTTGTGTTTTATCACAATAAAACAAAGATTTCCTTTATCACAGGCTGTCATTTAAAGAAAAGCCTTTCCATAAGAAGTTTCAGTGACTCCCATTTAAATCCATACTGCAATTCTTCTTCCCTTCTATATATAAGGGGTGTGATTTGTGCTGTTGCTCCACTGCTGCATTTTGTTTTAATGATATAAGCCTGTTGCAGGGGCTATTCAGCTAGCCCCTTAAGGATTTAGTCTGCACTAGGTCAACCTTTGGTAGTACAGAATTTACGATAGTGATACTTACGCCAACTCTGTACTAATTTCTTTGTATAATACACATCGCCAGGACAAAATAATTAGTGGTAGAACAGTTGCTTCTGTAATTTATAGGTGGCACTGGGCTATTGTAGAAACAAAATTGTCAGGGAGAATTATTAAACTCTTTAGAGCTCCAGGGATGTGAGGAGAATTGAATGTGAGGCTACACAGGGTAAGCATGGAGTCCCTCTCTGCTTTAGCACCCTGTGTATCAGTGAATTAGGATAAGAGATACAGAGACATGGGTAAACAGGGAAAGACAACACTCTGAAATCTGTCTCTGGGCTCACACAATTGTCCTTTTGTGCACATCTGCACATGGATGTCTCAGGTAAAGGACTAGCAAGTTAGACTAATGTTTAGTTTGCATAATTATAATAGCTGTATGGATATTTCAGTGTAAAACCTTCAGCGGCCAATCTTCAGTAAGCATTAGGCATCTGAGAATTTAGTTCTTTCAATGCCAAATAATTTGAATCATTAAGGAATGAAAGATATTCTGCAGAATGTCTATAGCCACTGAATTACATGTTTTAGGTTTTGGTCCAGTTCCATTTTTCACTGTCATTTTTCTGTCAAGTAGAAATTTTGGAGACATCATGACTAACATATTTCTTAAAGTCTACATGGTTTTTTTTGCTCATTTTTACCCTGAACTATCCAGAAGGTGGAAAAGGAAGAATGCATCTAGAGATTTTTATTTTCTTAATTGCCTCAACCTTTAGGAATGCAATAAACATATATAACAGAGTAAAATTACAGTAGACACTGTACCTGTAAGATGTGTGAGGTTTCAAATTGAGAGCCATTTGATTTAAATACAAACCTCCAGAGCATTTTCAAAGAACACTGAAGTAAGTTCCAGAAGTGCCTGTCGCTTCTCTAACATGAGGATGAGGGCATCCCATGCATCCCCAAGGGTCTCCGCCATGGCATCATAAACCTGACTCTTTTCTTTGTTCTCCTTTGCAGCCTTGTCTGCTTCATGCAGCAGGTCCCATACCTGGTCTTCCAAAGCCTGAGAAGAAGAAAAAAAAAAAAAAGAAAAAGAAAAAAGAAGAAATCTGTAAACAGAATCCAAAACACTGTGCTGATACTGGTGTCAGGGTAATTTTTCAGTGAGTCTGATAAACTACCCACAAGTCATCTACTCCTGCTTTATTTCCAGTTCCTAGTGACAGGAGTGTAGCTGTTCCTGCATGTTTCATAGCAAGCTTCCGAATTTCATCTGCACTTAAGAGGCAATATTTTTATGAAGTTTCATTTAAAAACAAGTGTTAAGAGAATTTATCATTCTATCTCTAATATTTAGATTCAAATAGGTTTACATCTCCTTAAACACAGATCTTCCTGGAAGTGGTAGCAATGCAGATATTTTGGATCTTCTTTCATATGCCATCATATTATATTACCTGACATTACAAGTTTTAAGAGTTTGTAAAGTAACTTACTCATAAGTCTCCGATGACTTCAACACAATCCAGACAAGAGTAGCTTGAATATATGCACGTATTCTCCAGAAAAACACCAAATTTATGCAATGTTTCAAGCTCAGCTCGCTGCATTGCTCAAGTTGGCCGCCAGATAATAATACTCTATTGTCAAGAAAATCATTCTACTGCGTTTCATTGCCTTTGCTAATCTCACCATGAGAAAGATAACTGCTGGGCCATTTCCAGCTTACGTTAAAAATCTTTAGTGTGTCAGAAAAATTGATTAGCATTTGTTCTATATTCTTTCCCCCCCATCTCAGGTTTTATTATGAGCATGAATTAATAAAGTGCCAATTTCTGCTGTTATTACAGGTGCTATCACATGAATGTGTAATGGGAAAAGAAGTCTGTATTAGGCAAATTAAAAACTATGATAACTCATTCTCATGACACAGACTCTAATAAAGGTTAAAGAATTGGAAAACTTGAAATTCTCCTGACAGATCCAACTGAAAAGAGGAAATTGCAGAAAACTTTATTGTTCTAAACACAGAACCATAGCCTTCAGTCCTCCCTAGACCTTGTATACTACACAAAGACGTCAGCTTGAACTGAAAAGGCTCATCAGTTCTCTCTAAAAGCGGTACTGTGAGAACAGTATAATAAACTATGGAACTTTTATTCTTTCTTTGAAAAAAATAGAATGAAATTACTTTAACTTAACTTTACAGACAGCCAAGTATGAAAACAAACAGTGGTAAAATTAACAGGCATAAGAGCAGCTCCAACAAACCCATCTTTTTCTACAGTATATAGAAAAGTCATTATCAGCAACATGAATGCATGCTTATTGTTTGGTGACAAACTCATCAAAAAGAGCATCTGATCAAAAGCTAGAGAACAATACACACTCCATTTTATTTTCTGAATACCAGGAATGGGAACTGCTGCTTTCTAATCCTTCTGTAAAACCAATTCTTTTTGTTCTGTTGAATCCTCATCCTGATTGCCTCAAAATATGAGCAGAAAAGCTCAAATCCCCCAAATGCTACCTATTCTGTATTTAAGTAGAAATCTAATTAACATTTATTTAAAATGATGCTTTGACTTTAAATGAGGACATTTGCATGGAGTAGATACTGTCACTCTGATGTAACTATTGATAGCAACTGTTTTATATCTCCATTATACCACAATGAGACAAGAATCAGGTCAAGAAAAACAGTTGGCCTTGGGAATCTAGTCCAAAGTACTCCAGTCAACTTTTATTCAAGAACATTTATCTAGCTGACAAGGTAACTAAATGTTGCTGCAGGTGTTTTCATAGTCTTACATGCAGCAGTCAGAAACCTTATTATTAGAAATAAAAAAAGAGCAGCACTGACTCATGATAATTTCTAAACCGCAGAGAATAATATGCTTGTACGATTAATAAAATTTAAAACCCAGCTTCATCAAAACAATGATAATGGTAAGTTAATGAACCAAGCTCATGAAAATTTTAAATGAAAATCCATCTTTCACTGCAATCTTTAACACAGTTCTTTCAACTCTTTCTTGGTTTTTCTTTTATTGGTTTGCATCATTATTTCTTAATTATTTTTATACTGTCAAAGCTATAAAAATTATGTTCTCCATCTAATACTGGATTTTCCTAAATATATGCACAATCTCTTCAGAGCCAACAAAGCCTTGGTTCTTTGTTCAACCTCCAAAAAAGGCTAAAATCCAAGTACTAACTGCCAAGTGCCACCTGTGTTGGATGAATCCTGCCTAACAGATCTAAGGAAGTTTGTTTTGTTTCCTAGCACCTAGAAGAAAAGATCTTGTGAAAGTCTTATGGAAGCTTTAAGGCCAAAGTGCAGAATAAAAGAAGTATCGTGACAGAAGATGAATGAATGAAATACACAAGGATGTGACTTCATCGCCCTGTGATGGCAGTGTAGGATGAGGTTAATGTAGACATCAGAGTGCTTACTAGATATAGCTGAAAATTCTTTACCAATATTTTTGATGCAAAAAGATTTTCAAACTTCTTTATTCCAAGCATTTGCTTTTAGCAGAAAAGTTTGACTTAATTTGAAAAAGTGAATGCCATAAGCTAAAAAATAAAAACATGGAAAATTCTGCTCTCATGACTCCATTCATTATGTACACTTTCCTTTATTTGTTGGGTTTCCTAATCGTGACACTTCTTTCAAACATCACAGCAGTTCAGCAAAAGGAGACTATGTCTTATTATTGGAGAAACAAACCTGTAAGGAATATTGGCTTTTAGTGGAGAATGAAGTTATGAGACACCTGAAATAGATATTCCATAAAATGACATCAGAATTTTAAGTGCTCAGTCAAAATCATTCTGCTGAAAAGAAAAAGCTCACTTTAAGGCTAAGTGATGGCTAGAAAACAAAGCTGGAGATTTAATATGCTAGCAGTCATTGTTTTCAGTTAAATATGACAAAAAGTCAGGGATTATTTTCCCTGACATTTATCAAGGAATGGGGAAATTAGCCAAAGGGTACTATATAGTATTCCTACATCTTTTAGAAAACAGTTTACTGACAATAATGAAGGTTTGGGGTTTTTTTCCCCACTGGTAATTACCTTCAGAAATAACCTGCAGGCATGATGGCTGCATAAGTGGGCACATCTTTGTCTACATCGTTCACTTGTTTGAGAACACTGCATTTTAGGTAAGGTCTTGAAATCTCCAATGGTCAATACAATACCAACAGGAAGAAGGAAGTTACTTCATCTGGAATGCCGCTTTACCCATCTTTTCAGGCCCCATCCTCTGTTTTCCACTTTTCCCTTGTTGGTTAACTTCAGACACACAGGATTTTCACAATAAAAACAGATCAACCACATCAAAGGCAAACCTGCATTAATAATGCAGTCACATTTCTATTGTGTTATATAATGCCAGTAAAATTGGTAGTTAGACTCACGTGCTATTTTGTTCTCATCTTACTAATTAAGCCACTAAATTTGTTTCTAAACCTTTGCACAAGGAGTACTAATGAACAATTTCTTTAATTGAAGCCATTTGCCTATAGGTAAATGAGCACACATAACTATAATATGCTGCTCTTCAAATAGTCTATACATTCAATAAATATAATTTAGTCTTCCAATTTATTTCTAATGCCGGCTGTTCCTGTTATCATTCATTACATTTCACGGACAACATAAAGGCAGGATATGACATTTACATTCCTTCAAAAAAGACCTAGATTTTGATTCTCAAAATCTATTTTGAAAACACAGCCAGACTGCTTGCAAGATGATTTTAAAAGGCAACACTAATAAAATCACAGTATAAAACAATGTTTTTGTTACCATGAAGACACAGTCAAGGATAATTGGACTAGCTTTTCAGACACGTAAGAGAGGAATTTATTACTAATTTTCCATGTCACACTGTTTTGTTCTCTCTGTCCAATTTCATCAAAATAATCAATATTTTCTAACTACATGTGATAACATAACATGAAATGACTAGAGCTCTGCTTGTCTACAGGACACAGAAAAATGTTTCACTCTTTCCTAACAGCTCAGCTTACTCAAAGTGATAGCACTTAAGACACAAATTCAACACTAACACTATTTTACATTTAGAAAAAGAATATTCTAGAAGAATCATGAATCAGGAAATAAGATCTGAATTTTTAAAAAGCTATAAAAATGGAAAATAAATAAGGTTTATGGATTTTATTCATTTTTTCAATAGCTTAACTACTGATAAATGAAGGCATAAAGAAGAGACCACGAAAGGGAAAACAAAATAACAAACAAAGGTTTCATGTGCAGACTGGGTCATTCTCCATTCTTGTCATTTATCACCCAACACTAGGAAATAGCTGTTATGTCTTAAAGTTTGTTTTAAAATAGACCTAAAATTTAGGGCTCTGTCCAACAATATAGTGATTTTGCTTCACTTGTACAATCTCTTAGTAGGAAGTACAAGTTCATGCCAGAGTTCAAGTACTAAATGTCAACTCACTTTTATGCAGTGTTAAAATTTTCATCATTTGGATTGTTCTAAAATTTGGTGAGAAGACTGGAAACTGGTGAGGATACTTGCTTCTCTGAGCAGATACCTACCCTCAACAGGCAAGGGATAAACCAAGCCCACAGTTTTAACAATTGATATCACGGGTGAGATTCTTGTTCCCTCACTTTCCAGCCACTTCAAGAGGCTTGCTGGGAGCTGGAGTCCCTGAAAGCCTCCGATTTATTTCAAACCTGCAAAGTATGGCTCTAGTGAAGAGAGAAACCATGAGATTGTTTCTTGAAGCAGTCCTTTGCCCGGTGAGGACAGAAACATAAAGCACTGTGGAGTGTAAAATGCAGAGGGGGCAAAGAAACAGAGGACAAATGGCTTTTTCAGTAATAACTATCTCTGAGGCCAAGTGGTCTGTACACTCCACACTGCTTTATGTTGGCTTTAGGGAAAAAAAGAGACTTTCTACTGCAAGGAGCATACCAAGGCATGAACTATTCACAATATTTCTAAATCTTGGTAAATCTTATGTAGAGCTGCAAAAAGTTGCACTGCAGTGTGTGCATCTGATCTTCACATTCT